TCTGAAATGAAGTTGTGCTGTTCACTTTTGACTTTTTTGGATTGGATTAAATTCTTTTTATATTTAGAAGACTTAATGTGCATTCTGTACTTGGACCAGGTTTGTTTTTTAAAATAAAATTCTTTAATTTTACGTTCGCACATATAATATTTCAAAGGCAAAATAAAAAATTTTCCGGACTTTTTATCAATACATTTTTCAAAAAATCACTATTCAAACCATCATTTTTCCAAATAATGGCTATCAAATATGCATTAGTTAACTTGGTACTTTGTGCCAAAAATAAATTTTATTTATGGACTGTAATGTACAGGGTTTTCGAAAAGTTGCAACAAGTCGATGGGAATTCGGCAATGACATGTTTCGCAAGGGTGGAAAAGATCAACTTTGTGAAATTCGTCGTAGAAAAGCATGGTCTAACAAGCCCCAACCTAATGTACAAGTCCGCATTGGACCCAAAGATCGACAAGATGAAGATCAAAGGTCATCATCAACTTCATCATCGTCAGAGTACTCTACCCTCGTTGATGAAAATAGAAGGCTGAAGAATGAAAATGGAGTCCTAAATTCTGAGCTTTCAATTATGAAGAAGAAATGCAAGGAACTTCTTGATTTGGTAACCATGTATGGAGGAAACTCGGAAAAGGATGCAGAAGAAGAAGAAGAAAATGTACGAGACGACGTTGGACCTAAGCTTTTTGGGGTTAGATTGGAAGTTCAAGGGGAGATGGAGAAGAAGAGAAAAAGAGCAGATGATGTTTGTGAAAGTTCTAGGTTTTTTCTGTCACAGTCGTGCAAATAATTAATTTTATGGACTAGGGAAAAAAATAATTAAGGGCATGTCATTTAAAATCGAATGCACTGCTAATAAGTTTATCGTGAAAATATCGTACTCTATAAAGAGCTGTAGAGACAGTTCAGTCCTGTATAAATTATATTTTTCAGTTACTTTCTAACTTATACAAATGAAGAAAGCCTAGGAGTATAATAAATTAAGAATTAATCCCTGAGTACGGAGATTAATTTCACAGGGGCCTGCTAGGTCCCTCACTGTAGCAGGCGGGCTTCATATGTAATAAAAAAAAATTGCAGCGAGCCCCACTGTGTGTGTATGACCAGAAGATTTGTTGCCATAACTTATAAATGATTGCAGTAACTTGATGTTAAGGTCAGATTTACTAGGGGATAATGTGACTCATGTTGATGACTCAAAATGATGTGATACTTTTAGATTATCT